TTTCTTTCTTTCTTTCTTTCTTTCTTTCTTTCTTTCTTTCTTTCTTTTTTTCTTTCTTTTCTTTCTTTTCTTTCATTCACCTTTCTCTGGGGTTGAAAAAAAATTGGGGAAAAAGAATTTACTTCACCTCATTTAGCCATTTGGGGAACATCATTGCATCTTGGTCAATGGTAAACATGGCTTCTGGCGATCCTTGCCTTGCCAGGCTCCCAAATTTTGCCCGGACAACTGACTTATTGGAAAACTGGACTGAACCTATGATGTCAAGATCAGCAACCAACTCTCCACTCTCATCCAAATATAATCCATCCAAAGAATTATTATTAAGCTTGAAAAGGTTTTGCAGGAAATGGTGAAGCTAAAATAACAGACAGGGAAGAGATAAGAGAGACAAGTACAGGAGTACTGATAGTTCTGCATATATTCACAATCCCACATTTATTGTTACCATAGAAATTTACTCCTTCTCTAGCTTACTTAAAATTGTTATAATTGTAACAATTGACTCCAGCTCTAATAAGAAGCTTAATATTTATATTTCCATCTGGTTTTGATCACAGCATGTGGGAAATTGTGATTTGGGAATGTAGTATAATCTCTGCTCAAGAAAATGATATCAAACAGAGGAAGTTATATTATTCACTTATGAAATGAAAAATTGTAAGATATCTGAATGAAGGTTGCTTGATATCAAGAACTGGAGTAATTGATGCATACATGAAAGAAAAATGTTAAATCTTGAATGATGTGACTAAAATGCACATCAGAAGGTAGGATTCTCTTTCTATGGAGATGAAAATTGTGGTGGTGAACATGGAAGAACTAGAGATGAAGTTTGGGAGAAATGGAGGCTCAGCCAATCTTATTGTACACATGTTGTGCATTGACAATAAAGGTTTATTATTTATGTGCAAAATATTTCATTTTCAGGAGAATGAAGTGAGCAATCATAGGATATCCATATTTACAAAAATCTCCAAGAAATTGATAATTATATATATTTACAGAATTTCAGCTTCCCACTATTAAACTTTGTCATATTGAGGGATTGAGGAAATATGTCTTCTCTGTTGTTGTCCTGCCCTCTGAAGCAGCATCCCACCAGAGATATGGATGGCATCCCTTCTCCTAGGGATCCCAAGAGCACTTTAGGCCCATCTCAACAAATGTCTTGTCGTAATTTAACTCCCAGGATTCAGGATTCCACTGAACTGAATTCTCAAAGTCTTGTGTGGTGGAAAAATACAATAGCTGCACTAGTGGAGTACATTAAATCAATCAATAAAAATAAGGACAGACATTCATTCACAAAATTCATGGCCTTTATTGTCTTGCTGCGATCAGACCTAAAGGCTTGTGTAATATAGAAAGTGGGGTGTGTGGCTAATATGAAAGATAACATCTTAAAGGAGATTGGTCCATTAAGTAAATGAACTTCATTGTCTGTACATTGATGCTCAGACCATGGGAAATAAGAAAGATGAGCTTAAATTCTTATTTCCTAGACCAACATGATTTAGCAGGTAGAACAGAGATTTTTTGCATGACCTCCCCTCAAGATAAAAATATAGCAATGAAATGATACTATTTATCCAAAACAAACTGAAGACATATAAAGGAAAGAAGAGGAAGAAGTTGAAATTACTCAACACACAGAGAAGGCCAATGAATGAATTTGGTCATACTGTAGAGGGCTGAAAAGAAGGAGTGATACATTAGTATGGAAAAGTGCATGCAGTTAGTCCGGGACAATAGAGAGGGTGTCAGAAAAGCTAAATCTCTGAATAAAACAATGAACTTCATGTACTCTAGAAAGAGTGCAGAGAAGAGCAACACAGATGATTAGGCGACTGGAGGCTGAAACATATGAAGAATGGTTGCTGGAATTGGGTATGTCTAGTTTGATGAGAAAAAGGACTAGGGGTTATATGATAGTGTTCCAATATCTCAAAGGTTGCCACAAAAAAGAGGGAGTCAAGCTATTCTCCAAAGCACCTGAGGGCAGGACAAGAAGCAATGTATGGAAATTAATCAAGGAAAAAAAGCTAGAACTAAGAAAAAATTTCCTGATAGTTAGAATGATTATTCAGTGATTATTGCCTCCAGAAGTTGTGAATGTACCAACAATTTTATTTTATTTATTTAGTTTTATTTAGTTTAGTTTGTCAAGCATGTATGAGAAAACAAGTAGAAGTATGAACACAACATATAAACATATAAGTATAAACAGGTATAAGTATATACATAATAAATGAGTATGAATAAATGGGAACAGTAGGACAGGGATGGTAGGCACGCTGGTGCACTTATGCACACCCCCTTACAAACTTCTTAGGAATGGAGTGAGGTCCATGGTAGATAGTTTAAGGTTAAAGTTTTGGGGGTTTGAGGATGTAACAACAGAGGCAGGTAGTGAGTTCCAGGCATTGACCACTGTGTTGCTGAAGTTGTATTTTCTGCAATCGAGTTTGGAGCGGTTTACTTTGAGTTTGTATCTCTTGTTTGCCCGTGTGTTATTGTAGTTGAAGCTGAAGTAGTCATTGACAGGTAGGATGTTGTAGCAGACAATTTTGTGTACTCAACTTAGGTCAGACCGTAGGTGGCGTAGCTATAAGTTGTCTAGGTCAATGGAATCAATGGAAGTTTTAAAGAAGAGATTTGACAACCATTTGTCTGAAATGGTATAGGGTTTCCTACCTAATCAGGGGGTTGGATTAGAAGACCTCCAAGGTCCCTTCCAACTCTGCTTCCTATTCCTATTCCTATTCCTATTCCTACTCTACTCTACTCTACTCTACTCTACTCTACTCTACTCTACTCT